CATAGCTATGATGTTCCATATATACAGTTGGATTATTCATTGCAGGAGATCCTAACAGAGGGACGGCTAGGTGGCACAGTGGATGCAGCACTGGCTCTGGAGTCAGGAGGACCTGAATTCAAAAGTGACCTCTGACACATAGCACTCACCAGTTGTGTGACTCTGGGCAAGTCACTTAACCCCAATTGCCACACACACACACACACACACACACACACACACACACACACACACACACACACACACACGCACACACAGATCCTTACAGAGTTGGCACCATGCACAGAGAATATTCTATTTGAGAAGCACCAGAAATCACCATATATTCTAAATACCTAAAATATCTCCCTACCCCGGGGGTCTGTGAACTTATTTTAAGAAATATTTTGACAACTGAATTTCAATGTAACTGATTTCTTTTTATGATCTTTTATATCTTATTTTGTGTATTATTATTTTGTGCATTGAGTAGAGTCTGGCTTCACCAGACTGCCAGAGAGATCCATGACACTGGGTTAAGAACCCCTGATCTTTTTAAAAACAATATTTTGTTTTTTCCAATTACATGTAAAAATAATTTTCAACATTTGTTTTTTAAAATTTTGAGTTCCAGATTCCCTCCCTCCTTCTTTCCTCTCTCTCCTCATTGAGAAGGCAAGCCATTTGATACAGGAAGAACTTCCGACCCAGGGATAGTCCCCAAGACATGATTCACTTCTTCCCCCTCAGAAAATTTCAAGGCATGTTTATGTAAGTGGATCTGCAAGGATTAAGAAACACATTGTTGCAGTCTTGTTTGATTAGTTTGGGTGTTACACAGTTCAGTGCAGGTGTCAATAGAAATGAGTTGTAGGCATGGAACAGATGCCCACAATTGCATAAAATGTTCAGATATTTCACCTGCCCCAGTATGGACAAGTATAGCCTCTGTGGAAATGATGGCTCCCAACTCTATAATTTCTTTAAACTTGGCATTGCCTAATGCCTGCTGCACATTTGGATATCCTTTAGTCCTTGTCATCATCTTTTCAAAACAGAGCTCATCATCTTTCTCACTTGTCCCATCACTAGAAGGCTCTATCAGACTCCCAGTGACTTGGGGGCATAATCTGGGAGTCATCCTTGACTCTGCCCTCTCCCCTGACTTCCAGTCAGCTGTCAAGTCCTGGTTTTCTTTTCTTTTCTTTTCTTTTCTTTTCTTTTCTTTTCTTTTCTTTTCTTTTCTTTTCTTTTCTCTTTCTTTTCTTTCTTTCTTTCTTTTCTCTTTTCTTCTTCTTTCTTTTCTTTCTTTCTTTCTTTCTTTCTTTCTTTCTTTCTTTCTTTCTTTCTTCCTTTCCTTTTTCTTTCTCTTTCTTCCTTTCTCTCCCTTCCTTCCTTTCTTTTTTCCTTCCTTCCTCTCTTCTTTCTTTTTTCCTTCTTTCCTCGCTCTTTTTCCTCTTTCCTCCTTCTTTCTCTTTCCTTCTTTTTTAACTTCCTTTCTCTCTCTCCATATATATATACACACACACACACACACATATATATGTACACACACATATACATAAACATACACACACACATATATGTATACATATAAACATTTTTCACAGCTGTTCTCTTTCTCTCTTCATAGTCACCACCCAAGTTTGGGCTCTCATTACCTCCCACATGGACGACTTTGTAATTGCCTTCTAATTGGTTTCCCTTCCATCATCCTCACCCCTCTATGAATCCATCCTTCACACACCTGTCAAAATAGTCTCCCTAAAGTGCAGGTTTGACTACACCACTCTTCTGCTCAAACGTCTTTAGTGTTCCCTCTTGCCCTGCAGATAAATTACAAGCTTCTTCTCTAGAATTTACAATCCTCTATGTTTGGGCTCCAGACTGCCTCTTAAATCCTATTTTGTCCTACTGTATCAATTCACCATCCAGTCAAACTGTGCTACTTGCTGTCATTGGAATTTGATAGACCATTTCTTACCTCCATATATTTGCACAAGCCATCCCCCATGCCTGGAAAGCAGTCCTTTTTCCTCTTTGACTTTTCAAATGTGTCTCTCCCTTTAAGGCTCAGCTTTCTACCTCTTCCTCCATGAGGCTTTCCTTGATCCACACTCCCTTTCGCTCAGTTCTGCCATCTCATGTTTTATAAGAGTTTTTATCTGATTCTTTCCTTTCCCCCTGCCCTATCAACTCCCTACCCTATAATATATGCATAATATCATAAGATTGCGAAGGTAGAACTCGAAGGGACCTTAGAGATCACTGAATTCAACCCCTTCATTTTACAGATGGGAAAACTGAGATGAAGAGAGGGTACATTATTTGCCAAGGATGTATAGCTAGTAAGTGTCTGAAGCGGAGACTGAACCCACCTCTCCTTGACTCCAAGTCCAGCGCCCTGGACTTTGTAGTCTGTATTCATATCGTTCTTCACCCACGGCCACCCTGTCAGAAAATAAATTCCTTGTAGGCATGGTCTGGTTAGTTTCATCTTTGTACTCCTAGCATATAATGGAGTGTCTTCAACTTAGAGATAGGATAGGGACTGGACCTTTGACTTCATTGTATAGGGAATTCCCAGTTCCTCCCAGAGGCAGGAGACTTCCTGCAGGTTGGCACTTTCTCTACAACCTATAGCCTTATAGAGTTACCGATAGCACAGAGGGGTCGCACATGACTCAGCCAGAACACCAGTCCATGTCAGAGGTGGGACTTGAACTCATCTTTCTGGCTCCAATCCATTATATCACCAACAATTAGTAGGGGCACTTTTTTGAACTGTACTGAATGTAGAGATGAATATCAATGCTGCTCACCTGCCATGGGATCAACAGTGGTGTTATGGCTGTTACGGCTTCAGAAGAGGAGAGAACCTAATTTATTCCATTTTGTATTTCTCAGTTTGAACTTAGCTTTAGAACGTGGGAGATGAAAAGAAGAGAGTGATGTCCCTCCCAACACTATAGCTGAGGCTCTGGGTGGGTCACTGTTGATGGTTATTGACAACTATCATGCCATAGATTTGGAACTGGAAGGAATCACAGAATCATAGACCAGAGAGCTTGGAAGGACCTCAGTGACATTCTAGCTCAACCCATGTTCAGAAGGAATCCCCAGTTGTACCATACCTGATGAGTGATCATCTGACCTCTTCTTGAAGACCTCTGATGCCCTCCCAAGGCAGATCATTTTACTTTGGGATGGCTCTACTTATGAGGACATTTTTCCTAACATCAAGGCCACATTTGCCTCTATATCATCACCCCTGTTCTTCCTTCTGGGGCTGAGCAGATCTCTAAGGATCACCTACTTCAAACCTTTCATTTCACAAAGGAGGAAACTGTCTATTTTGTGTCATATTATGTGACCAAAATAGACACATGTCAAATGTGAACACAGCAGTTGTTCTCAGAATATTGCTGAAGGGCTCTCTCAGTTTCTGAAGACCCCATTTGCCAGATGAAAGGATGCGGAAAAAATCAGTGCTTTGGAAGGTCTCCACATCCTGACTCTCTTTGCCTTGGGTGCTTTCCCTGTCCTGTGGAAGCCTCAATTACAAAGCCTTCACTGTGTGGCTTTTCAAGGGAGTTTTGATAATATTAGGATGTTCAGCAACACCCTGGTGGCTAATTAAAATGAAGATGCCTCCTGAGAAGACAAGTCAAACACCCATCTCAGCCTCCCCAACACAGACTAGATGAGAAGGGTCCATTGTGGTGCTACCGTTATTGTTTAAGTGGAATGTTGCAAAGGGACAGGCTGGGTAAATGGTTATTTATGATTTCTGGCCTTTAAAAAAAAAAGCTTTTACTGATTAAAGAAATGCAAATTAAAACACATCTGAGACACTACCTCACATCTATCACATTGGCTAACATGACAGAAAAGGAAAATGACAAATGCTGGAGGGGATGCGAAAAAATCAGGATATGAATGCATTGTTGGTGGAGTTGTGAACTGGTCCATTCTGGAGAACAATTTGCAACTATGCTCAAAGGGCTATAAAACTGTGCATACCCTTTGACCCAGCAATAGCACTAATAGGTCTGTATTCCAAAGAGATGAAAGAAAAGAGAAAAGGAACAATTTGTACAAAAGTATTTACAGCAGCTCTTTTTGTGGTAGCAAAGAATTGGAAATTGAGGGGACACCCACGAATTGGGGAATGGCTGGACAAGTGGTGGTATATAAATGTGATAGAATACTATTGTGCTATAAGAAATAAAGAGCAGGATGGTTTCAGAAAAACCTGGAAAGACTTATGTGAACTGATGCAGAGTGAAGTGAGCAGAACCCATGGGACATTGTAACAGCAATTATGTAACAGCAATGTTGTAATGATGATCAACTGTGAAAGACTTAGATACTCTGATCAAGACAACAATCCATGGCAATTCCAAAGGAACTATCAGGAAAAATGGTATCCCTGTCCAGAGAGAGAACTGACAAACTCTGAATGCAGAGTGAAGCACACTCTTTCACTTTTTTATTTTTTGTTTTTACTGTTTTATTTTGTTTATGTTTTCTTTTGTAACATGGCTAATATGGAAAACTGTTTTGCATGACTGTACATGCATGATCCATATCAAATTGCTTGCCTTTTCAAAGAGAGGGTATGGGAAGGGGGTAGGGAACTCAAAATTTAAAAAAATGAATACTAAATTTTTTTACATGTAATTGGGGAATGTTCAATGAAATAAAAAAATTATTAAAAAAGAAGTGAAATAATCAGCAATCTCTACTCAGTATAAACTTTTCTTTTACAAGGCCAGAAAGTATAAACAACCATTCACCCAGCCTGTCCTGTTCTACCCTTTGCAACATCTCTCTTAAAACAATAACGCCATCACCACAATGGACCCTTCTCATCTGGGCTGAGATGGGAGATTGACTTGTCTTCTCAGGAGGCATCTTCATTTTAACTAGCCACCAAGGTGGTTGCCAAACATCCTAGCATTATCAAAACTCCCTTGAAAAGCCACACAGCGAAGGCTTTGTAATTGGGGCATCCACAGGACAGGGAAAGCACCCAAGACAAAGAGAGTCAGGATGTGCAGACCTTTCAAAACAATGACATTTTCCGCATCCTTGCATCCGGCAAACGGGGTCTTCAGAAACTGCCCTTCAGCCGTGCCCTGAAAATAGCTGCCACTTGTCCTGGTTCTGATTTCAGACTCAGCTGCACCATGAGGACCTTAGTAGCCCTGCTTCCTCTGCTCCTCATACCTCACACTGAGGGAAGTGGACACTGGACATACCCAGGTAACGCTCACCCAACCCAAGCTTCTCTCTGCTCCTTCTCATGGGGCCCAGACAATGGGAGGTGCTTTCAGTCTGGACAACCCGTGGGCTAGCTTTGAGTCTTGGCTTTAGCATCAATTAGTCAATCAACCTGCATTTATTAAGTACCTGTTATTTGTCAGGTTCTGTGCTAAGCGCTGGGGCTACAAAGAAAGGCAAAACCATTCCCTGCCCTCAAGAACTCACTTTTTAAAGAGGGGGACAATATGAAAATGCCTAGGAACAGACAAGATATGTACAGAGTGGATGAAGGCAATGTGAAAAGGGAAGGCAGCTGAGCAGGACCTGGAAAGGCTTCCTGTAGAATGTGAGATTTGAACTGTCTTGAAAACTAAAGGGAGGTGGCACTATAGTGCACAGAGGGCAAAGCCTGGCATGAGGAAGACTCCTCTTCCCGAGTGGCCTCAGACACTTCCCAGCTGTGTGACCCTGGGAAAGTCACTTCACCCTATTTGCCTCAGTTTCCTCATCTGTAAATGAGCTGGCAAAGGAAATGGCAAACCACCCCAGTGTCTCTGCCAAGGAAACCCCCAATGGAGCCATAGAGAGTCAGACACGACTGAAACAACTGAGAGCAACAAAAGAAGTCCAGGGGCAGAGAATTGCAGGCATGAGGGACAGCAAAGGCAAGGAGAGAGGAGATAATCATGTACCAGGTACTACAAGTAACAATGCGGTGGAATTAGAGAGAGAGAGAGAGAGAGAGAGAGAGAGAAGAGAGAGAGAGAGAGAGAGAGAGAGAGAGAGAAGAGACAGAGAGACAGAGAGACAGAGAGAGACAGAGCGAGAGAGAGAGAGAGACAGACAGACAGACAGAGAGACAGAGAGACAGAGAGAGACAGAGCGAGAGAGAGAGAGAGACAGAGCGAGACAGAGGGAGGGAGAGAGAGACAGAGAGAGAAAGAGGGAGGAGAGAGAGAGAGAGAGAGAGAGAGAGAGAGAGAGAGAGAGAGAGACAGACAGACAGACAGACAGACAGACAGACAGAGACAGAGCAAGAGAGAGAGAGAGGGAGAGAGAGAGAGACAGAGCGAGAGAGAGAGAGAGACAGAGAGAGAGACAGAGATAGAGACAGAGAGAGACAGAGCGAGAGAGAGGGAGGGAGAGAGAGACAGAGAGAGAGAGAGAGAGAGAGAGAGAAAGAGAGAGAGAGAGAGAGACAGAGACAGAGAGAGACAGAGACAGAGACAGAGAGAGACAGAGCGAGAGAGAGGGAGGGAGAGAGAGAGAGAGAGAGAGAGAGAGAGAGAGAGAGAGAGAGAGAGAGAGAGAGAGAGACAGAGAGAGAGAGAGAGACAGAGACAGAGAGAGAGAGGAGAGAGACAGACAGAAACACAGAGATAGAGACAGAGACATAGAGAGACAGAGAAAGACAGAGAGAAAGACAGAGAGAGACAGAGAATGAAAGAGACAGAGATATAGAGAGACAGAGAAAGAGAGAAAGAGACAGAAAGAGACACACACACACAGAGACAGAGAGAGACAGACAGAGACAGAGATATAGAGACAAAGACAGAGAGAAAGAAAGAGATAGAGACATACAAACAGAGAGAGATCGAGAGACAGAGAGAGAGACAGAGAGAGAGTGTTAGCAGGAGTTAGATTATGCAGAGCATGCATATATATTCATTAAGTTTATCCTGGAAGTAACAGAGAGCTACTGGTTCTCACTGAGCAGGAGATGAGGTGTCCCCTCCACAGAAAGAAACCACAGGGGCAGCTAGGTGGCGCAGTGGATAGAGCACCAGCCCTGAAGTCAGGAGGACCTGAGTTCAAATCCTCCCTCAGACCAAGCACTTGACACTTACTAGCTCTGTGACCCTGGGCAAGTCACTTAACCCCCATTGCCTAAAAAAACAACAAAAAATAGAAAGAAACCCCGGGTGGCTCGTTAGTTCATGCAGCTTCCCCATGCAGACCTCGGTCGTTTCCAGGCCTGGCCATAGACTGTTCTTCGGTGTCTGGTTGAATGTGAGTTTCGCAAGGGCCCAGACTTTTGCTTTTTGTCTGTGCCTCCTCTCCAGTGCCCAGAACAGTGCCTGGTATATAGTAGGTGCTTAATAAATGAATGAAAAGCATTTATTAACAATTTATTATGTGGGAAGTGGTAGAGACATAGAGAAGCCAGCCAGCCAGTCGTCTTCAAGGACCTTGTCTTCCAACAGGGAGTGGTAACACATAGAGGGGAAAGGCAGCCAGGAGCAGGTGTCTGCTCCCCTCTTTTATGCTGCCCATGTTGTTGTTGAGTCATTTTTTAGTTGCGTCCGACTCTTCTTGATGCCATTTGGGGTTTTCTTGGCTAAGATACGAAAGTGGTTTTACAGTTCCTTCTCCAGTTCATTTCACAGATGAGGAAACTGAGGCAAACAGGGTGAAGTGACTTGCCCAGGGTCACATAGCTAGGAAGTGTCTGAGGCTGGATTGGAACTCAGGGAGTGTGTGGAGTTTGATACACCTTTAGGATATTGATATCCTCTTATGAGGAGGTCATCAGGGCCAGAATGAGGTCCTTCAGAGAACACCGGGCTTTGATTGTGGACCACTCTTCAGAAAGACAAAGAAGGTGCGTGTAGTGGGTGGAATGATGGAGCTGGAATGGGCAGACCTGGGTTTAAATCACACACAATGGGAAGGAAGCAAACAAACACTTATGCAGCACCTATCATGTGTCAGGCACTAAGTCCTTTCCGTTTGACTCTCATAACAATCTTGTGAAGTAGGTGCTATCTCCATTTTACAGTTGAGGAAACTGAGGCAGACAGCGGTTACAATGACTTGCCCAGGGTCACATAGGTAGTAAGTGTCTGTGGCTGAATTCCTGACTCTGGGCCCAGTGCTCAATTCACTGGGCCACCTCGATTGTTCTACATGCCAGTAGTTTTAATAAGGATGGGTGCAGCATGGGGCAGCTAGGTGGTGTAGTGGATGGAATGCTGGGCCTGGAATCAGAAAGACTCATCTTTCTGAGTTCAAATCTGGCCCCTTGACACTTACTAGCTGTGTGACCCTGAGTAAGTCCCTTCACCCTGTGTGCCTCAGTTTCCTCATCTGTAAAATGAGCTGGAGAAGGAAATGGCCAACCACTCCAGGATCTCTGCCAAGAAAACCCCAAATGGGGTCACGAAGAGTTGGATATGACTGAAAAACAATTCGACAACAACAATAATACAAGGGATAGCATGACGCCTTCCCTTGGTACCTTCCTAACCTGGGCCAAACCCCTATTACAGCTTCGGTTCTGATGTTTTCTTCTTTCCCACCTAACAGACAATGAATGGTCTGAGCAGTATCCGACTTGTGCAGGAAAGAGTCAGTCCCCCATCAACATCGAGACAGAGAACGTATTGGAGAACAGGACTCTGGGGACCCTAGAACTGACTGGCTATGGTCTTCAGGATGGAGAGTTCCTGCTGATTAACAATGGCCACTCAAGTAAGAGGGAATGGAAGCATGGTGGGGCAATGGCGCCCAGGGAGACTGAGGAGTATACCAAAGCGCTAGACAGATCTTCTAGACCGGGGGTGGGGAATACATGGCTTCGAGGCCTCCTGTGGCCCTCTAGGTCCTCAAGTGTGGCCCTTTGACATCAGTCCACACTTGAGGACCTAGAGGGCCACACGTGGCCTCGAGGCTGCAGGTTCCACACCCCCTGGCCGAGGAGATGAAGTATTAGTACAATTTTAGAATATGGAACTTACGTTTATGTTTTTGTCTCTGTCCTGCCCTTGTCCCCACAAGTGCTTTGGGGTACTTCTCCCTCAGCAGCTGTAGATTTAGACATATGGTACATGATTGCAGAAGTTTATTAGAGAACAAAAAAAAAATGAAAAGGGAAATAGGGGGGGAAACCCCCCACCTCCAGTCTCTCCCTGTCACACCTGATACTCATAAAAGAACAGCTAAGAGGTGTTCCCTCACTTTTCTTTGGAATAAAATAATGTGAGTGAGAACCCGTGGGGCCAGGGCAGCCCACGCCCCTGGTACTCAGGGCCCCGATACCTTTGCTTTCCTTGTTGTGTCCTCACACTGCTTCCCTCTTGGGCACTGCTCTTCTGCTGGGCAGGCGATTCCTTTGTTCTTCTCCTCTCTCTAGCTGAAGTCCCAAGTGTTGGAGATAACTCTCTCTCGAAAACATAGTTAGGATAGAGCACTGGTCCTGAAGTCCGGAGGACCTGAGTTCAAATCTGACCTCAGACCAAACACTTTACACTTACTAGCTGTGTGACCCTGGGTAAGTCACTTAACCCCAACTGCCTAAAAAAAAATTAAAAAAAGAAAAGAAAAGAAAAGAAAACATAGTTAGGTCTCTTCTCTGCTGCCAGAGATCTCACTTCTTGAGGCTGACTGTCTTTTTGTCTCTAACAGCTGGATATGGAGTCTCTTATTGGGAGGGTAGCTCTGACACTTGATCCTATGGACAATATGGTAGGGCAGGAGAGAAATAGCTACCTCTCCAATAGTACCCTCTGGTAGGTAAATTAAATGCTCAGGGGTCACGTTCTACAGAGCTGCTTCCTTTTTTACAGGCAGCCAGGTGATGTAGTGGATAGAGCACTTGGCCTTGAGCCAGGAAGACCTGAGTTCAAATTTAGTCCCAGGCATGTATTAGCTGCGTGACCCTGGGCAAGTCATTTTACTTCTATCTGCCTCAGTTTCCTCAACTATAAAATGAGGATAATAATAGCACCTACCTCCCAGGGTTGTTGTGAGAATCAAATAAGATAATATCGGTAAAGTATTTAGCACAAGACCTCGCACATGATAGACAACAAATGCTTATTTTTAAGCTTTTGTCTTGACTGTCTCAGAGATGTTAAGTTTTTAAGGGACACCAGCGTATGGTCAATCTTTTGCCAGCCAATGGCAAGTTGTTTCTCTGAAATTCACTTGGGAGAACATATTTACATTTTGTGGAGGGGCTTAGATTTATCTTTGCACTTTACTTGATACATGAACGAATACCTTATTTCTCTCTTACTTTCTGTGATTACATCAACAAGGTTGGGGCATGGGGGAATCAATTCTCTCTGCTACATCTATATTATTTCATTCAATCCTCACAATAATCCTGGTGCAATGGCTGCTACAATCCTCATTTTATAGATTAGGAAACTGAGGCATAGAGTGGTAAAATGAATTGTCCAGGGTCTCACAGCTAATGTGTATCAGAAGCAAGGTCCAAACCCAGTCCTTAAGCCATTTCACTCTTGTTGCCTTCTTATTATACCGTCTCCTCCTCAGCTCACATTTTAACTCCATCTTTGACATTTCATTCCAACTCCATCCTTGACATTTCATTCCAATTCATCTTCTGATCTCACTGGTTTCTGGTTGTCAGTAGGAAATGCCGTTAACAGAATATATGTTGACATTAATGACATCTTATATTTGTACAGCTACTGTGTCTGAGGAGCTTAGAATACTTTAAAAAGAGATCTGATATTTTTCTAGAGTCACAAAGAACGAAATTCTCATGTCTTGCCTGGGTAAAGATCAAACAGAGAAAACAATATCTCAGATACTCCTTCTTGGATCCACTTAAGAGCTAAGTTATTCTATAGGGAGACAGAATGGTCCAATGGAAAGAGCCTTTGCCTTAGACAAGAGAAGCATGGGTTTGAATGTCACCTCTGACACTCACTAGTTAAGTGACCCTGGGCAAGTCTCAGTTTCTTCATCTGTAAAATGATTATAGCATCTACCTTTTAGAGCTATTGGATGAAGATCAAATAAGATGATGGATGGAAAATACTTCTCAAACCTTAAGTTTCACCTTTGGTGGGCACGGTGATGGAAAATGTAGACTCCCATGGCTTTTAACTTTCCCATGCCTTGACTCATGTTATGGACTTGGCCAAAGGTGCTAATAAAATGGAAATCCTAACTGTAGAAATACAACCAATTCTCAGGTGCCTGTGAGTTAAAGGGGATAAGAGTAACTAAGAAACTCAAACCCACCAACAACTACACACTTCTGGGCATTTTTTTCCCTAGAAATCCATTAGAAATTAGAATTTCACTTTCTCTTCTTCCCCTTATCTTCCCAGTGGTGAAATGGGCAAAGAGCAGGTGGTTAAGACAAAGAGGACATAAAATACACATGGATCAATAGTAATTGTGGATGGACCCAGTGCAGGGAGTGAGTTAGGGCCATGTTTCCATTTCCTTTCCATTGAGGGCTCTGCCCCTGAAATCAAGCACACATTTCAGACTAGGTTCAGTCCTGGGGGAGTCTGGCCTCTCACACTCACCAGTTCTGGCCTGAGAGCTCCCAAAGATGCTGTTACTGCTATCATTGCCATCTCTAAGGCCCACTGATGCTGTTCCTGCTGCATTTGCTTCCAGTCAGCCCCCACTCCAATGTTGCAGACCTTTCCTGCCAACCTCTGAAAATATCTCACCCTGACCTGTTGGCTCCGCCACTCCAGAATTCAATTTGAGGCATTATTTTAAAGCTGTTTGGAGGGGAATGTTGAGAGAGTTGGCTGAGTTGCTGTCCCTCCTCTGCCATCCTGGCTCCACCTCCTGTCTAGATCATGCTCAGGAGTATTTTGTACAGACTAGAGGGTAGGCATTTAGGCGAATGCTTATTACATATTTTTGTGGTCACCTTTTTGTTTTGTAACAATAAGGTCCGGGATTGTTTTTAAGTCTTTGATATCCTCTCCTGTCGGACATCTCGAGCAACGATCCTTCCATGCTCTTAAAATTGTGTCACCTCTAGCACAGACTTCCTTCACGCCTGTTTTCATCTGTTTTCTGTATTGCCATTTCTACCTCCTCATTGGTGACTATGATATTAGTCCATACATGATCCCTCTACTCTGATGGAGAAAAAAGTTATAGAGACTTTTACAAATCTTTTCTATTTTTATGGTATCTTCCCTCCCCCCCCCCCATTTCATCCTTTAATGCCTTCAGGATGCTCTGGCTTAAGTCAGGCCTCTCAGTAAATCTTCTGCAAACTTGTTTCTCCCTTTACTGCTGCTTGCTATTTTATGAGGCAGTAAGGCTCATGATTTCCCACTGTCTTCTTCTCAAAGATTGTACAAACGAGTTTATCTCCTTTATCAGTGCTGCTCTTCATTGCCATATCCTTCCACTTGGCAAGGAGATCAAGGGTTTGTAGAGTAAGGTAATGTCTACAATGCTTGATTTTTTTTGTGGCAATTGATTTACATCAGTTAAAATTCTTTGGGAAATGGTCTGTGTCATATCTGCTTTTTAATCCTTTCCCATTTTTTTTTGTTTTCAACGGCTCATTTATTTATTATTATTATTTTTTAGCTAGGCAATGGGGTTAAGTGACTTGCCCAGGGTCACACAGCAAGTAGGTGTTATATGTCTGAGGCCGGATTTGAACTCAGGTCCTCCTGAATCCAGGGCCGGTGCTCTATTCACTGTGCCACCTCACTGCCCCCAGCAGCTCATTTAAATAGGCCAGCTTGAATCATATTCTTGTTGGACCTTTTGCAAATTCAAATGTGCATTGCAATTTTAAGATGACCAAGTGTTCCTATGAAATGTTGCCTTTGCGCACATGATACGCTAACTCCAGCTACTCATTTACTTACCACAAGGACACCCAGTGAGTCCTCCTTGCATTTATTTTTAGCTTTCTTTTCTTCCGGTTTCATTGATTACAATAACGGTAATATTATTACTAACAATAATAACTGAAGTTGATATATTATATCATCGATAAAGATCAATCATCTTTATAGATTAGATTGCAAGCTCTATAAGGGCAGGGATTGTCTTTTGCCTCTTTTTGTATCCCTGGTGCTTAGCACAATGCCTGGCACATAGTAGGTGCTTAATAAATGTTTCTTGAGTCAATCAAGTGAATGAATGAAAACTTCAATTTGCAAAGTACTTTCCTCATATTATCACAACAAAGCTTCGTAATGCTTCACAATAACCTTGTAAGGTAGGTACTATGGGTATTATTATCCCCATTTTGTAGATAAGGACACGGAGGCTTCAAGGATTTAACTTCCATGATCAAGAATTATGAAATTCCTTTATTTGATTATAGCCTTTTTCTTGTGCTTTGTCAGAGTTTCCTTCCTCCTTGTCAAGATCAGCCTACATGTATATTTCATGTAATTTTCTTTCATTTCCATTGTGGGGGAAGATTGCCCCCACAATTGTTCCCTCTTTTTTTAATCTTCAGTCTCTGTTTCTGCTGGCTCCTTCTCTGCTGCCTGCAAACATGACCAAGTCTCTCCTATCCCTATATAAAAAAGATCAACAAACCCCTCATTTGACCATACCATCCCCTTAAGCTATAATCCTGTACCTTTTCTTCCTTTTACAGCCAAACTACTAGAAAAACCTGCCTACTCTCTTTCCCTCTACTTCTCCTCCCACCACTCAGTCCTTGGCAATATGCTTTCCAATCTCATTGCTTAATTGAATCTACTCGCTCC